CTCCTTGGAAGCAAGAATGGCCAGACTTCGTCTCATCTATTTTGGTCATGTTGTCAGAAGGGACCATTCCCTGGAAATCATGCTTGGTAGGGTGGAGGGTCGACGAAAGAGGGGGAGGCCTTCAATAAGATGGATTGACAGGGTGGCTGCGATGAAGGGCTCAAATATAGCAGGGATTGTGGGGCTGGCGCAGGATTGGGCAGTGCATGGGGTCGCTATGAGTCGGAAATGACTCGACGGCACGTAACAACAACAACAACATTTGTATGTGCTGTAAGAATGTCCAAATATATAATAGAGCTAACAAGGGGCAAAAATATGATAACTTCTTAGCCACAGCCAGCCCCCCTGAGGGAGTGAGTAGTTGGACCTGTGGGCTCAGGACTATGGTCACAGGGAATATCAAGTTCAATTGGCCTAACAGACTATACAAAAACAATGTTCTACATCCTACTTTGGCTAGAAGTGACTAGGGTCTTAAAAGCTTGCAAGAGGCCATCTAGATACAACAATAGGTTTCTCCTTGTCCAGAGCAAAGAAAAACGAAGAAAACCAAAGACACATGGAAATAATTAGTCCAAGGGACTAGTGGACCATGAGAACTTCAGCCTATATGACCATGACACCAGAAGAACTAGTTGGTGCCGAGCTACGACTGTCAACCGCTCAGAAAGGAGTACAGTACAGAAGATCCTGGATAGAGTGGGAGAACAATAAGGAACAAAACTCAAAATCATAAAAAGACCAGATTTGCTGGTCTAATAAAGCCTGGTGAGACCCCTGAGACTACGGCCCCTATTTACCCTTCAGGTCTGGAACTGAACTCATTCCTGTGGCTTCTGGCCAAACAATAGACAGGGGTGGACATTTACATCAGGTAGATACACTCCTTGGAGCAATCAATCGTGGGAGAACAGAGGGGCAGTGATGGCATAGGGAGATAGCTGCGGGGTGGGGGGAGTGCAGGGGAGGAAAAGACACAGGGAAGAGGTAACTACTGGGAGGAAGTGGGAAGACAGCTGTTACACTGGAGGGAACCGCAGCCAATGTCATGAAACAAAATGTGTTTGAACTGCTGTCTGGTAAATGAATTTGTTCTGTAAACTTTCACCCAAATCACAATAAAAGTTAGAAAAAAAAAGTGTCGTTTTATTTTGCTGAGTGCAGGCATAATGTTACAATATCCAATTTGTTAATTGTTTTGTTCAAATTCTTCTATATGCTCGTAATTTTTTGCCTGCTTGATCCATCAGTTTCTGAGAGATGTGTCTATTTGTCTAGAGGATTTGTCTATTTCTCCTTATATTTGTCAG